TTGTGCATTTGAACACATATAACACACACACACAGGACAGGAAGTTGTATTTTGCTGAAGCATTCCTACAACCTCTGAAAGAATAAAAAACAAAGATGCTGAAAACATTTTTGCATGAGACCTCAAAGTGTGTCATCATTGATGAATTAAATCTATTAAAATCTACATCTAATAAATGTTGGTTGGACATAGTTTAGCATTGGTGCTGTAACACTTTACCATGCACGAGCCCCAGATTTACTGCTCTTAGTGTTTATAGCAAAAATGCTAAGTGATTTGCAACACCTGTCCACAGAAAGCTGTAAGAAATAACAGATAGAAATAAAGAAAAAGAAAAAAAATGAAAACTATGCACTGGTAGAATGGCAAAAGGCTGACAATGATAAACAAAGACAATAAAATATTAGGAGTCATAACTCGCCCTCGGCTTATCCTGTACAACGGTTGGTAATGAAGAGAGCCATAGCCTACTCCTTTTTGCCACATCCTGTGTGAGATAGGTTTTTCTGCTGTAGCCTCAATCAACACAAAATACAGATCAAAGCTGGACATTGAAACATTGAAAATTAACTAGGAGTGGCATACTCCCACTTGAGAAGATCTGTTGCACAAAATAAATCCACTCTATTTAAATTAATTGTAGGACTGGAAGTAAAAAATCTCACAAGAGGATTTTTATCATTTTCTTTATGTTGGGGGAATTGTCCATTTTCAAAAAGTCAGGTTTAAAAACATCTGCTTCAGGCAATGATGTAGTTACATCTTAACAATTTGGAAGTTTGATGTTGTATTGTCACGTTTAATTGCTTCCCCCGTTGAAGCCATTTGTTATTTTATTTTGTTGCTATTCTGTATTTTCTGTAGACAATACTTGAGATCAATTCTAAAAAAATATATTAATTTATTAGCACAGAGCATGACTGACAGTGTGTTTAGTGTATATCCATACAGTGTATGTGTCGATGTTTATGGTGAGGGGGACTTGAAAATATTTGTATCTACCAAATGGGGGCTCGGCAGAAAAGTTTGGGAACCTCTGACGAAATGGACAATGAACAGTCTGCACCCATATCTGTGTGCTTGATTGCTGGTGGTACTCATATACTGTATGTATAAGAATGATTTGAATTCAACTCTCTGTTTGTGTTTTTGTATGTTTAAGACAGAACTATCTTATTAAAAACTAAGTTTGAATGTATCAGCAGATACACTGATATTAAACTGTGGAGTATGTGTGCTTTTGTGTATCCTGAGTATTTGGAACAATCTCCATAGAACATGCTCAGTGGAAGTTTGTAGTGAACTCACCGATGTCTGCCCATGTTCTAAAATGTCCTCTAAATAGCGGAACATTCTGCACCACAGAGTGTAGACTTCAGACCGGCTTTCAGGTGTTCTAAGGTGCAGTCGTTTTTCTGTGTCTTCAAGATGGGAACACATGCCAAACACACCCACACGAGTGCTGGGCATAAAAAATGACAACTGCCTCAGGTGGAAAATAGGAACATCTGACAATTTCTAGAAAAATGTCAGGACAGCCAGCTTGCCCCGGATGTTTTCCCTCATTCACACATGTCAAGGTGTAATGTTTACAACAAATGGAAGAGGGTGGCTGAAGCAACAGAGTCCAATGCTATGACAAGATTTTGCATTTGTATCAATGCTACATGTAGTATGACGCATTTGTATGCATAGAAAGTAAAAAAACAGCTTCGTTATTTGACAAAGTCTCCACTGATATCTCACCAGTCACATCACCACGCACACTGAGATACCTGAATGTCACTTGCTGCTCCCACACATCGGCTTACCTTGACTTCACTCCAACATTTTAGGCTGGCAGGAAAAAAGTCAGAGTTAAAGGGTTGTGAAAATTCAACTTTTTGCATTAACATATGACACCCATCTGAAAAAACATTAGTAAACCTTTATTAATCAATCAAACTTTATTTATATAGCACCTTTCAGACAAATTAAATTGCAGTTCAAATTGCTTTACAAGAGTGCAGAAAAGTTATTGACTAAAAAGTAGTTTATAAAATCCTTGAGAGACTAATGCACACCAATAAGAATTAAAAAAAATATGTATAAAAATAAAAAAATAAAATACGACACATAAAAGCAATAAGATATTAAAATTAATACATAGGAGAAGAATATTTAAAATTGTCGTAGGATAAAAAAGATAATACAATAATGTTAAGATTTGAATTGACATAAAGCACTATATAAAAGATAATGAGGCTGAACCACCTGAATCATCACCTGCCAACAAACTTCTCCTTTAGCAGTTCTTTACACCATTAAGCACAAAGTTGTGTTTTTCAGACCAGATTAATAAATGGTCCTCAGAGAGTCACATCTGTAAAAAAAATTTAAAAAAAGAATATCCTCAGCTCACTACACATCCAAGACAGAAACATGTGATGCAGGGCCAAGACTAAGAACACTGTCATTCCAGCCAATAATAAAAGCAGGTTAGGTCCATCACCAGCTGTGCACGAGTTGTGGGATTAAAAACTGGCACACATGGCTGAGATGCCTTGCACTTTTTGACACTCTTTAACACAGTCATGTCTCAAATCTGGTGAACACATAAACGTGCGATAAGCAGGGTGACGGAGCCTCGTGCTGGCTCTCCCAGTTAACATGTAGCATCTTGGTGGTATATTCACCTGCCAGTTAGTGCGCCTTTATTTTCATCTGTAGGACAAATAATTGTTTTGCCAAGCACAAAGCACACACACACAATCACACACAGACGTCCTGAGTTGCCTCCCCCCCCCCCCCGCCCCACTTATCTTGATCATGCTAATTATATCTAAAGTGTGTGTTTGCGTGTGTGACTGCGTACGCAACAGTGTGTTTGACTTTCCTACTTATGCCACAGACAGCTGTTGTTTGTGTTGCCCTGAGAGCTCAAACACTTTGTAATTATCCCTATCGGTACTTTGTTGGAGTGATGAGTGTGTGTGGCAGTAGGGGTTGGGGGGGTGGGGGGGCAGCACCACCCCAATTCACAACACCCTAACTACCCCCAATCCCTTCTGCAAAGTATGGAGTGTGAGTCCACATACGCACACACACACACACACACACACACACACACACACACACACACACACACACACACACACACACACACACACACACACACACACACAGGCCTGTAACAATAGCCCCGACACAGAAGCCATGTTCAAAACAGCTGACATAGAAAAGTGTGAGTTTATGACCTCAGTCACAAAGAATTGGGGGCGAAAGGAGTGTATGTATGCATGGGATCACACTGAAACAAGTGTTTATGAAAGCAGCGTCTACACACAGAAACCTGTTGCCTCATAGAAGCAAACTTAAAAAAATAAAATAAATCTTGAATCAACACTAGACCCAAAAAGGTCACATGAATAAAGATACATTAGGTAATAAAATTAGAATGTTAAAAGCTAAGTTGAAGTTAAATAAACACAGGCCTCATATAGAAAGGTGAGGGAGGAAATCATGGTAAAGGCATGTGTGTGTGTGTGTGTGTGTGTGTGTGTGTGTGTGTGTGTGTGTGTGTGTGTGTGTGTGTGTGTGTGTGTGTGTAGGGGGATGGGCAACTTTTTCGATGGTCCCTCCTCCCTCTTCCTCTGTCTTTTTTTTTTTTCTCTTCCCTCTCATCTTTGTTCAAGAGCTGCCCAGCTACAACAAGCCACCCCTGCACTCTGAAAGAAAGTCAGAATAAATTAGTCAGAAGTGTTCAAAAGGTTGGGGGGGGGAAGGAAAAATATTGTCACTCACTTTGAGCTTGTCAGTTTACTTGAGATATTGTGTATTATAATTGTGTGGTGGTGGTGAGGGTGTGTTTGATAGAGCATGAAAAACTATGTGTGTGTGTTTGTTTGTGTGCATGGGAATGAGTGGATTCAGTAAAGTGAATATAACATACTTGTTTGGTATAATTGGAACTTTGATCACTTATTTATAATGCTTGACATTTCTTTTCCATTTTTGTTTTCGCTCGTCTGCGATGAACTAAAAATACAAAGGACTAAGGAAAATCATTCATCATCATCATCATCACCATCATGCCTTTTTCATTCTCTCCTTCATCACTATAAGTGGCTCTGGTTTATCTCCTGCTTTAATGACCACTGATGACGCACAAACACAATTTCCAACTCCATCTATATGCTGCGGGGAGGCAGGGACACACAAAGCTCCTCTCTCTCTCTCTCTCTCTCTTCCTCTTTCGCTCTCTCCCTCACAAAGCCTGCATGCCTCTCATTTGTAAATCACTTAAAAGCATGACAAATGTGCATTGGAAGTTCCAGAGCGTCCCCCCCCTTGAAAGCGTTTGTGAGTCTCTCTTTCACAGCCTTTCTCTGATACACCACTGTATTGTGCAAACTAGACATATAGCTTGGCATTTGAAGCACGCTTTTTGTTGCTTAATCACTCTCAGCTTGAATATGTAACACAAATATTTAGTGCGATGAAAACACAAGCCTCTTTGTGTTCCGATGAATAATGGCATATATTTAAAAAAAGGGTGGTAGCAGGTCCAGGGTGATTTGGATGATTACATTTAGGGGTTTCTGGTGGCTGAGCAGAAAGGAGGTTTGTAGTTGTGAAATGATTTTGAGAGCGGCGAGAATGTTCGACTCAAACCCTAAAACAAAGGAGTCTTGTCCACAACACTAATCCCACAGGAACATTTCTGCCATAGACTGGGAATTACTGTGTATTTCAATCATGTGATGGACCATCAAGCAGGGGGTTACAGCACTTTTGTGTGTGTGTGTGTGTGTTTGGGTTAGAATGTAGTCTGAGCTGCAGATCGATACAACAGTGTTTTATAAAGGTATAGACTCTGTATGTACAATAGCTGATCGCCTCATTTACACAAAAGACGTGGGGACCGGATTGGGGGGGGGGGGTGGTGCAAATCTACAGCTTTTGAAGATTATCACTGGGTCAAAAAAGGGTCACCAATTAAAAAAAATGTAACCCACATGGAGTAGATTAACAAGCACACACAGGCTGTAAAAGTAGATGTCGCCGTATTGTGTGGGCTTCATTTATTGAACAGAACAATTTCAGTCTTTAACAGGGCATATATGGATGACAAACTGTTGTAAAAGTAGTAAACTTCACAACTTACTTTGTCAGTGTTTTTACACTAAATAGGATCATAAATGACAACATTAACATTGATTATCATAATGATTATTACACATTATAGAACATTGTACTTATAATGCTCATAAAGAGTCTTTTGAATTTGACTATTTGTATTATTTTTCATTGATTGCTCCTGACTTAGGCACAGGATCTTATTCCAAATTGCTCCTAACCTAACAAGTGATGTTTCTGTATTTGTCATGGGAGGTTGAAATCTTCCACTGACGGTGCTTTAACCACTGGCTGGTAGACGAGTCTCCTGAAAATGTAATTACAAGATTAAAAATATGTAACCATCCACTTTCAGAACAATACTTGCTGTCAACAATGATTGAATGAATGACCGTCTCTCTCCACTAACGAGACAGTTATTACAGACACAAGATGAGGCTATGATGCCAGTCATTGAATCACAGACAGTTTATACGGAGGGACTTGACAAAAAGGAACAAAAAAAATAATGGATTTATCCTTCAATGGCAGGTGGTCTATTATGTCTATATGCTTAGCTGTCGCTGAGAACACACCTGAAGCTGTCTATCTATAGGATGTTGACAGAAGTCTTTTAGGTTGCTGTTCTCACAGGAAATCATGGCTTACTGCCAAAACTGCTGTTGTAAGGACTTTTTCAGATACTCTCTCTTTCATACTTGAATTATCCTATGGGTTTGGAGCTTTTCTTATTATCTTTTTAACATAATAAAAAATGTTAAGTATGAATATGTGACATATTCTGCTTCAGATACTGCTTCAGTTGTGTTTGCTTACTTTGTTTGTATTTCTTTGCCAGAGCTAGGCTGTCTATATAACAGCACCAAAACTATGAATTTGGACTCTTGTGATTTGTGAGTTTTGTATTAAAGGATTTACAACCTTGTGAAAGACTAAATATTCTGCTTACCCAAAAAAAGTGGCTGCCATAAGGGGGGGGGGCATTGCTCCTACACAGAATATAAGCACAGATATCTAAGATATAAGCATAAAGATATAAGATATGAGCATTGAATACAAGTCTAAGCATAAAGATATATGTTATATGTACAATACAATAAAAACAGTATATAGCAAAGTAATATAGTTATAACTATAACAAGTATATGTAAAAATAGGAATATGCACCAGACATGTGTATCCAGACTATGAGTATTAAAAAATGAGAATGTACAAGATATGTGAATAATGTACAGATCAGTTACATACAAAGGGGGTGTATAGTGTAATAAGTTTAGTTTAGTTTATTTGTTTATTGTTTCGTGGACAATCCCCTTTAATTTACTGTACAGTAAAAGAAGCAGCTTTAGCCTCTAATTTCCAGCTGTAGTCCCCGGCCAGTTGTCAGTAGGCAACCTAAAATGCAATTGTTAAGATTTAAAACACAATAAAATTCATAACATTAGTAATTACAACAGGCCTAAGCAAAAGGAAAATAGACGTACAACATATCACACACAAGTTGAAGTTGAATGATAAGTAATAAAGGGTGGTAAAGCAGTGAAATAAGTTGACATGGCAGAGAGAGGAGTTATATCTACTGATGGTGGTGCATCATGGGGGGATAAGACTTTAGCACTGAACATTGTCCGGTGCTTTTCTAGTACTGCGTGGAGTTGGTAATATGCAGGTAACCTGCAACCTAGTCAGTATCCTCCACCCCCATAGTTGTCTCTTAATGAACCACTTAAAACAATCCAGTACAAATGGTGTATGTGTATAACTTTCTCGCTGAGATAAGCGCACAAACTGTCTTAGGAATAAGAGATTGCTTGGTCAGCTCTATGAACCGTTTGAAGAGGAGCTGCTCCTCCAAAGTTTCCCCCCTGACAACTTAAACCGCTACTGCTATCACATCTTCACAATTCACCCGCAAATATGCTGCTGTGAAAAATTCATGAGGTGTACTTTGTCAAAGGATCAATTATTTATCTCCGCACAGGACTCCAACACCTCCATTAGGCCTCTGGTCACTCCCTGCATGCCTGTTTTCTATTTCTCTTTCACCACAACACACAAACTGAAAGGACTTCAAAACACATCAAAGTTTTCAGCTCTTGTCCTAAACTCCCTTTATTCCTTGCACTTTGGTGTCTTTGTCTCCCAAACCCACATGCATACTTCACGTGTGCACCTCTGCTCCCACCCCCCCCCCCCCCACCACCCCCACACCTCCTCCATACTCTTGTGTCTTTGTATGAAACCCCTGCCTCATCCCCATTGTCATGTTAATTACCTGTTTGCTCTGTTTTGCAGGAGCCCACCATCTATCAAAGCGTCTGCCTGCTTTTCATCTCGCGCAGTGCATCTCTACCTGTAATTAGGTTTGGGGCGAGGGAGAAGATGGATTTTGTTAGCACCCTGCAGAGGAAAGAGAAGACATTAGGAAGTCTCCTTGGCCTGTTCTGGGCCCGGCCTTTAATGCTGTCTAATTGATCGGAGCCGTCATGGGGCCCCGGCTTCATGTGGTAGGAAGCTGATTATCCCTATGTGTCAACCTCAGTGCAGCAACGTTAGCATAGCGCTGTGGCTTTTACAGTGTGATAAGGTGGATGCATGCATGTATGTGCATCTGGGAAGTCAAATATAACTACTTTTGAATGTACTCTGTATCTGTGTGAGTGTGAATAAAAGTGGGGGATGGGATAATGGATGGTCCTTCTTAGTCTATATAAAGCATTGCACTCAGGCAGTCATGGATTAGTACACGCTGTATTGCTTTGTGTATAAAGAGTTATACATACTGTTATGTGTGTGTGTGTGGGGGGGGGGGCACCTTAGTTCTTTTATATGTCTGTGTATCTGCATGTTTGTATTTATAGTGGCTGTGGCGAGCCTGTGCTGTGCTGTGGTTAGAATAATTTAAAATCCAGATGTGCGGAAGCTTGTGGGAAATCGATCCAGGCCCATGGCTCCCGAGCAGGTGATGAGCATACTGTCATAATGCAGTAAGGAGGGAGAGGCAGATTAATATTTAACAGCTATCCCGACTGAGCAGAAGGCTGTTGATAAAAATGCTCAGGAGTGTGAGGATGAATTAACATCAAGGACAAGTTACCACAGTAATACAGTTATAAGAATAAGATGAAATGATAATTAGGAGAAGATGAAAATGGCATCTACTCATTACACTTTTGACTTCATCCTTACTGCGTATTTATTCTGTGTGCCAGATATAAATAAAATCGTTTTCAGATACCTACAAATGAAGAAAAGAAATTGAAGATGAGAGAATAAGAAGGTAAGAATTGTAAAATAGAAAAAAAATAAAATAGAATTTTTTAAATTATAATCATTGTTAAATTAAAACCTTAATTAAAAATGAAGGACCACACACTGAACAAGCTGTGTTTCATTTCAGGGGCTGCATCCTTTGAAGGTCACATTTAAAGACTGATTGCTTCCAGCGGCTCATCAAAGGCTTTCCCATTTCGAAGGCTCCATCAAATGCATCAAACTTAATGTGTCCTACTTGACCAGGCCACAGAGGATTCAAATTAAGATGAACTTTCAAGTATCTGTAAAATAACAGGTAACGTTATGTGATGATGGCTATGTAAGCTAGTTCCATTGCAGCTGTCAATGTTGCTAGGTGACAGCAGTGGTGCTTAGTAACCATAGGGAACAGCTGTTGATGAAACAGAGAATCTTCTGTAGACCAGACTGTACATTTCAGTTCAGTCTGAATGGTCTACACAGACTGGGTCCTTCATAGCCTGCGTCCTTCGAAAAGGATGCTACCCCCTGAACTGGTAGACAGCTCGTGGTTGGTTCCCCTTCAGGATTAATCATGCACTGAAACGTTGTTAGAATACGCTGAGAAATAGATTCCAAGTGGACAATTGCTCCTTCAAGGCTGACCAACAAAACTGAAGCAGAAGGACATTTGATTCTAAGTTAAAAGATGTAACAGAGTTTATTATAGTTTCTGTTATTCTACTTGCATACCGTGAGCTTTATCTTCCTTTTGTGTAAATGGCTCAAGGGCACCCTTCCTCAAGTGTCATACATAAACTCAATGGGCAGCCATTATGCTTTGACAGTACCATGTACAACTATCGTACATATATGTTTGTATTGACACTTTATGGACTCATAAATACACTGTGATGTATAGATGCGTTAATAAGATACCCCTGAGTGAGTGATTGTAATTTCTGTGTGGTAAAATGTCTACTTAACAACATTGTACACAAAGTAGCCAGCTAGCTAGCTCCTGCGTTAAATTCAATCTTTTTCTAGAGTGCTGCACATGAACTATCAAAATGAGCCAAAATGTATGACTGACCAGTATGTACTCTGTTCCTGTTCAAGTACATACATGTATTATTGTGCAAATGTATGTGTGTTTTATTTTCATTAAAAATGATAATGCTTTGTCAGTGTATGAGAGTGGGGCCTGAGTGTGCTGTGTGTGAACTATCGAAACAAGCCGAATGTATGACCGACCAGTACTTACTCCTGTTCCTGTTAATAATAGAAGATTAAAAAATGGCGGCATAAACAGGAAGACAAACCTCCCGCTCATCACTCTATGCACAATGCAGAGTCGAGGGGTTGCCGTGAAGTGCAAGTGAGCACAATTACACATGAGGAAAATTCATGCAGAAACATGGTGGACCGCAGAAAACCTTACCTAGGTGGTTTTTTTTTTTTTTTAAGTGATGCATTAAATCTGCATTTCAAAGTATGCTTGCATACGCGGGGTAATTTAAAAAAAAAGTACTCACTGTCTAATTGTGTTCTACAGTCCACTTTAACAAATCAAAGAAAGAAAATGTCTTTTTTCCTGTACCTCATTTGGACCTATCAGTGTCCACTAAGTGTCTCCTTTGATACCCAATATTAAGTTATAACACTTACAGCCTTCAGCCCAAACAGATAAGATTAAATTATTGATCAAATAACATTAAAAGCACTTAATCAGAGGAGTATAATCAGCATGCGGGGGAGAATCTAAACATGTCTCTATATGGCAGCAGTAAATGAACAGTAGAAGTCTTTCCTCTATGTGTTTACTTCCTGGTGATATGCACTGCAGGGACGTCCATGCTGTTCTGCTGACCTTCAGCATGAAATGAAAAGTGTCTGATGCCTTTGGTGTGTTTGGAGGGGCTTTCTCCTTTCCCGAAGATGGACAGCCATGCATTATTGATTACAAAACACTCCTGCGAAGCTATTTCATCTCTCAAGCACAGCTGACCAAGAATTGGGCTTTATTTTGTGTGTTTTTTTAAGTGTGCACTTTTTTTTTTTCCTGATCAGCTGCATGGTTTTGTTTGTGTAATGCTTTCTCGTTCTTTTCACTCCCCCCGCCCCCCCTCCCTCTCTCTCTTACCTCCTTCCCCTACAACACCCAGTGGGAGGCTAAATAGTAGATATGCACAAACAGCTCCCTTATCTCCACATCCCTCTGCACAGTACACTCACTGAGAACTGCACGAGACAGAAGACAAAGGTAGGCAGAGACAAACCAGGAACAATGGGAGAGTGAAAATAAAATCTAACGGTTATCAAACCAACTCTGTCACATCTCACAGCATTTATTTGACTTCATTATGAGCTTTGTGTGTCAGCAGTTAATAAAATACACGCCTGTACACTGAAACACACTGTGTATGCATATCAGATGTCAGACTGTATACAATGCACATCTTCATTTTCTGTTCAATATTCTACAACCAAAATTATTATTCTTTATTTCTCTGGTTCACTTCTGCTCTACTGCTGTTAACAATATCTCATTAGAATTCTTATTCATTCCAGTGTGTCAATTACCGACAGTGAGATATTAAATATTCATTTCTTCGTATCTTATTCAGATTCTATATTTTCTCCTCTTTCAAAGCTTCAGAATTTCATCTTTAACCATCGAAACTTCCGCTGTGTTTAAGGTCTGGATATGTACGATAAAACACTTTTGCATAGTCAAAAGTCACTCCTTTAGCCTGCATAATCGATCATTTCTATACAAAAGAAGGGACCCGGCAGACCATAAAGTGTTGCTGAGCATGGCCTTACCTCTGCGGTCCCCCGTCGAGGATGGTCACAGGGGAGGACGCCCGTGGCGACCGCGGCTGTCAGAAGCTGTTTCCATGATGCCAAAGAATGATTGGTTCCATGGATGGGGACGGTGCTCTCTGACAGCACAGGGGGAGTCTCTGCCACACCTGGGAGAAGAAACACTGGCAGGATGTGAAATGTTACCCAACAAGGTCATTCCAGGGGTCATTGTAAGACCTGTCACCCTTTTTACCCCCACCATCATCAAGGAAGCTAAAGGCAAGCCTTGTGCTACATAGGGGGAATTTTATGTCTGAATTTATCCTTTGTGTGGGATGGGAGTCTGACTCAAGCTTTGTCTACTGAATCTGCAGACAACAATGTCCTGGTGTAAAAAGAGAAACCTTCACGCCTGAATCAAAAATGTGTTTCTGTTCTTACTGTCACCGGTCTGGTGTCGTTTAAAATGCAACGAAAGCTTCTGATTGCTAAGAAATCAAGGAATAAATCTTTAATTACACAGGCCCCTTTTCACTGGATACCTCATCTGCAAAGTGCTGCAAACATGCACCACATTTTCAAGTCTGACTCATGTCTAGTCTGTGGCAAAGAGAAGCCAGCATCATTGATGTCAGTGTTGTTGGTGAGGCTTGTTAGCATGAATGACAAGGCTGGAGATGCGACTGAACAACAGCAGCCCCCTCACACTCTCTCACTCACAGCATGTTTTTCACATCATGAGTTTAGCCTGTCTTCTACAGAGGTGGGCTTCCTGACAATCCCCGCACCGCGAGTCCACGACAATTTTTAATGATTGATCACTTGTCTTTTGACTGCGGTGAGAGGGGGAGAGAGACAACCAGAGAGAAAGGAGAAAATAAACGAGGGAGGGAAAAAGATGGGCGTGGACAATCCCACAAGGTCAGAAAGATGTCCAGTCTTTTGTTTTCAGCGGTGAGATCAGTGGCCTGTGCAGCCGCGAGGGGACAAGCAGAGTGACTGGAGGCCTGGCAGGAACAGATGTTCTTACACAATGAACATGCACTTGGTTGGATGCCTATTCACAAGTCAAGGGGGTGACTTCCCCCTTTTTTTTTGGAAACAAAGACAATTACAGCAGAGTCAAAGCTTCCTACCTTTTTACCGAGGCATGTTGCCGTGGCAATCAGGCTTATATGTAGGATAATCAAAAGATAAATCCATATAACAGTGTATTCACTTTTGAGTTGCCATTTAAAAGTTGAAATTAATTGTGGTATGTATTCAAGCATGTTGAATATTTCAAGATTATAGGAAGTCAAACCCTCGTTGTTCTGAAAAAACAAACAAACATCTGGACGGGGGTGGCGCTCCTTTCTCTTCTCAACAAGCTAATACTACTCCCACTTCTTTTCATCTCTTTCCTTTAGGTGTGTGGCGGAGCATTTAATATTTCTCATTACCAAGCATTGCAAAGTACAGTGAGTTTGACAAACATGTGAAGAAGTTATGCTTAAACTGTCCACACACATAAATACTGTTTTCCTTTTCAACAAGACAACATACCTCCATAGAAGCAGCTCAGCGGTTTATGCATGTTATGATATTTGTCGGGCAAACCAAACAACAGTTACACCCATCAGGTCATTATATGAACAGGGAGAGAGAAGAATGGAGCAGAAATCAGTTAGATGACACCATCCCCTCATTATAAAGAAACAAAATATACTGAGACGTTTTTTTAACTTTTCCTTTATAAAACAGATTTTTACTTGTGTAAACAACCTCGCCCTAGAAACAATCAGTCAGCTGGCAAACAAAACGAACAGTCAACATCGGGTGGAAACTGTAGAGCACCAAAACACAGAAGAGGAACACACCTGCAGAACACATTACCATCTGAAATATTTAAAAAACTGACCGAGTTCAAAGTTTTTAAGACACAAGTCAAACAGTGGCTGAAACTGAAGCACGTCTGAGAGCATTGCATGTTCCCTCTGATAATCCTCATTTTACTGTTTGTTCTTATTTAGTCTCTTCTTTGTATTGAGTTTATAATGTCTGTATTTGTGAAGTATCACTATTTATGTATTTATTTAAGTCCAATGATTCTGTTTTAATCCAGGGACAGCCACGGCTAGAAACCTATATGTATGGCAACTACCATGAAGCAATGTTCGTTGCATGTTTCCCTGTTAACTAAACCAACAAAATAAAATACATGTAACGACAGTTATATAGCACATGCACCAAGTTCATATTTGAATACTTGAAGTTTATGATTGAACTCAACAAACACTTGTCCTAACAGTTTATGTTTGCATAACATGATAAGAAAATGATTGTCTCAATGTGGGTACATTAACAATGTAAGCTCAGGTTATCCATACAGGAAGTGCAGAATGAAAGACAACATGCTCATAATTCAATTAAACCCTTCAACTAGTTCAAAGTAATTGTAAAATAATATTGGTAGAGGTAAGGATTTGAGTTTGACTTTTTAATACTGCAGATATAGACCTACTGGTTTCACTTACGAGAACTGCTGGTGATTAGGACTGAATGATAATACTGCACTCCAATCCAGATCTGAAAAGGCTAAAAGGCATTTAGCAAACACTTATCGTATGGTACGTATCACAGTTCCTCCACCTTAAGTCCACATTAATCTTCCGTTACCTCCTTTTACTTCCTCTAAATCTGACCATCCTCAGTCTCTCTTTCTTCCTTATTTCCAACACACAGCTCTGCTAACTATGGTCTGTAATCTACCGCTATTTATAGAGTGCATGTTTGTGTCAATTTGAAAACAATAGACTCTCCTGACTTCTAATTAAGAGATGCTTAGTATCCATACCAGCTAAAAACACAGAAGGACAAGAAAAGAATAATGAAACATGTCTAATGTGTGTCTTTAAGTAGGGATGTCAGGTCAAGTGGCATGTTACATTTCCAGAACATAGCCTATACAAAATAGCTTAGAAGCTATATGTTGTTCACATCCAGAGGACAAAGTTGAGGCAGTCGATTAAAGATGTAGTCTTGAACATGACTATCAGTATGTTTGTTGACATGGCTGGGGTTATTGGTCCATAAATGACTGTATGACTCATTGCCTCCCTCTGCTGGTGATAAAATGTAGTGAAGTCATTTTACAAGCTGCCTCAAACCCTCAAACCTTGTTGAAAAATCAAGCTATGATATTGTCAATGACACGCAATTGAGAGTGCCAACACAACATAACACTTTTTATTTTATTTGTATGTCTGTTACTGTAATGGGAGTTAATATTCAAAAAGGGAGTTTAAAAGCATCATATCAAACAGTATGCTACTTTATGACGTTTTTATTTCATATAATACCTCGTAGTTCATGTGTCATGGACTACCAATATTGACTTTCATAAACTTTATGGTGTTTTCTCTATAATACCACCAAATTTTAACCAAAGCAGTGCTTTGGCAATTAACATGTGTCGCTTGTAGGGAGCTGGGCAAGTTTAATATAAATATTAAAGATAATCAAATTGGTCTACTTAATTATTCATGTGATATTCTTGTGTTCTTTGCTGTTTCATTCAACTGTTTGTTTTTTTGTCAGAGCTATCATTGTGAATTAGGATTATGTTTCATAGAATCTGTAGGCTTTGTGTATTGTTAGGCCTTCTAGCTTATATTTCCACCACTATAAACTCACCTTTATTTCCACAACTAGGATGTTATCTAAATAGGCCTATAGAATTCTGGGGTCATAGGAGTTTGCAAAAGCTTTTCAGTATTTTTTCCTGAAATATTTGAAGGATTAGTATGGTCAAACAGGTTCCTCACTTATATATTAAGGAGGATATACCATTGAATGCAGTCATTTTATCCTGAGCAGGCTGCCAAAAAAAAACAACAGCCTAACTTGACAGTCAATCTGATATAGGCTACTTTTAAATAACAAATTGGCCTAATTAGTTATTGATTACAATAATGTAGCGCGCTCCGTTTATCATTCACTTAAAGAAAAAAGTTGTTTTTTTGTGGAGCCTGAAGTTGTATAGTACAATTACTCAAACGGTAGATGTCTCCCTACTCCATGCAGCTGTGTGTCTTCATGGTGCTGTCTACAGATGACAGAGTCGCCATTTTGGAAAGCATATCGTTCACAGCACACCCACCCCGAGTACTGGAACTATGCCGCGGGGCCGGCCTCGCAAACAGAGAGTTAAAAGCAACGACGACACAGGTAACAAGTACCAAAATGCAACTAATAAAAAATATGGAATTTGGGCTACCCAAATAACCCGCCATTGTTCGGTTAAATAGCTCTGTATCTTTTATAATGACACTTCAATGTAGTGTATATAGTCCCCGGATATAGTATTGCGGGTGGGCTTTGCTTTGTGCGGCGAAGGAGTGATTGAGGCGGAATGATATTAATAACATCTCGGTGCCTCTTCTTATTGGCTTCCAGTCTAAATTGGTGTCCGGGAGGAGAAGAACCGCGGTAGCGTGTGGTGTTAGTCAATATTTGGTCGTTACACTTAAAATTAGTTTATTTGTAATTCATTTGTTAGCTTGTTGTTGCTAACTAGCTCACGTTGCTACTGGTAGCATCGAGGCTAACACGCTAAATGTTTGCAGCTGTGAGTTAGATGTTGTTAGTGAAGGTGTCCAGCTGCTCACGGATGTGTTGTGTTGGTCAGCATGAGTTGGCTGTGGTATGATCCAAACAAGGTGTTCACATGTGTGTCGGAAATCATTCAGATTGCTAGCTGTGTCAATGTCAAGATTGTACATATTTGGCCAAACCTAGACATTATAAGTGAACCTGCTGGACATCTAAACTAAATCAGCTCCAGAGGGAGTTCATACTGTGTTCAATAAATGGATTTCGGGCACATATTTTTCTATCGATGAGCCCGTAACAGACCAAGGTAGTGTAGTGTGGTACCAAGCTGTTGAACATTAGTGTTAAATGTTAGGCAAGGCGATTTAAATTTAAGTATAGCCTCGCACATTTCCGCATCAAGGCTATTCAAAGGGTTTCACACACATACATCAAACACACAATGACAAAAGGGGGAAAGGAATATTAAAAAGAGGGCTTTTGAAAGTTATTAAAAGTAAAAAATAACACTTAAAATTTCAGGTTTCCTATAAAAACTTAAACGTCACTGTTGATGGATTTATTCATATGTGACAGTGAGTAAAACAAAAAATATAGTATTTTATTTTGACACACCTTGAGTGACAGATAAGGTGAATTTAAAGTCTTTCAAATCTAATACACACACATGTTCGGCTCTTTAATTTGTATTTATTTATTAACTATTAACTATTATTATTTCCAATCTGACATGAACATTTAAAGGATAAACGTTTATTAACCTGACACATTTCAAAAAACTAAATAAAGAGTGATATCAGAGGGTGTCAGTTTCTGCCTCAATCTCTCAGTTTTGATCTCCTCCTGTCATTATTAGAGTTTTGCCTTGTTACTTTTATTTTTGTTTTGTTTTTTAATCTGTATTGCTCTCTTGTTTCATGTACAGCACATTGGTCAGCTGTTGCTGTTTTTAAATGTGCTTTATAAATAAATGTGATTGATTATTAGACTTTAACATTGTCAGCCCTATGAGATTACTTTAGTAGGGTTTTAGGCTACTGGTCAACTTTACTACCATGTGTACCCCAGGAAGGAGGTTTCATTTGAGGCATCAAATGGATCCCTAAGGATCCTGTTATACAACAATAATAATAATAATAATAAAAACTCCATGTAGTATCTATGGCCATAGTTTGAGAATAATATTTTTCATATTGATGCCAAAGTGTCTAGTCTTCAGTATGCTAGTTCTTAAAAAAATCGACCACACAGTTTCATTTTGGAGAGAGGATCAATAAATGATGGGGCGTATAAAAACAGTCTTTTGGAAGCAGACAGTTATTAAAAATATAAAGCTACAGACTTCAGCACCTGTGTCATGAAAGAGGCCTCTTGTGCAAAACTGGTACATTCAAGCCTTCTCTC